TAATTTTCCCTTTGGGGCCCCGCCCTGGCCCCAGGGGTGGGGGTAGGAATCCCAATTTTACAATTTTGAAGCCTCATCTACCAAGGATGATTCTGACCAAGTTTGAAAAAAATCCATCCACTGGTTCTTGAGAAGAAGTTGAAAATGTAAAAGTTTACGCACGACGCACGACGGACGACGGACGACGACGGACGAAAAGCGATTGGAATAGGTCACTTGAGCAAAGCTCAGGTGACCTAATGACACCTTCTTTATGTAAAAATGAACCACAATAAAAAGTATCAAAACACTGGACGACGTAACAAACCAAACTCAGAATGACTGGAAATCTTTTTTTATGCCTAAACTGTCAAAACGTCTGATACATATAAAACATCAGGCCTACTTTTGGTTATTGAACAATATGTGTTGCTAGTGGGTTGCCTCTTATAATGAGATGATATCAGGCCAGCCAGAACTACTGTATCCACAGGCTTAACATTTAGTTAGCTTAATATCAGCTCTATTATTAACCATCTAGTAGTCCATCACATGTTAACATACTAAAGGATACCTGTACTGGTGTCTTGTTGAGCTAATAAGGATAGTTTTTAACCACAACTTACATCTATTTTGTGACAAATCTCCACATACAGATACATCGGATATTTTACTTTTAGCACTGTGAAGCTAACATTACTATGACGATTAGGGCCTATGTTTGGGCCTGGCTGTGAGCTGTCAATGTTACTTCTATATAATTGTCCTGATTCCTCTCATGGACAAAAAAAGATCATCGACCTCAAATCAAAACCAACATAATCTGACAACTTTTCTTTATTTTGATAAAAAAAAAAATGCATTTTTTTACAGATAAAAAATCCTTGACTTCTTCATACCAGATTGATTGTGATTTTGAATGATATCTAAATAAATAAACATTATATCTTGTATCAATAGTGAACTTCTTAACTTTGCACCAGAATCTCATGTTAAATAATTTTACAGAAAGTTTTACAAAGGGATTTGGAAACAAATATGGTGCCTATGTGAATCTGTCTCCCTTTGTTTATATTTTTAGAAATATTGAAACTTCCAAAATCTGTGCTTATAACTCATAAAAAATGTTTCCAGTTCTGAGGTCAAATATACAGACGAAGTAAAGGGAAGTTTCGACAAAATTATTACTTAGAATCCTTATTTCATTTTGCACCAGCAGATGTACATATTGGTGCTTGAAGCCCTTCTACAAATTAACAATATAAATTACCTGTGATTTCATGCTAGAATTTTTTTATCTGGTCCATTAGACTTTAAATTGACCAACTAAAGTACAAACTGTATGCATACGGTGTCCATAAAAACCATAAGTGATGGAGCTACTGAACTGGGGATGGTGAATATTTAATGCATTTATCACGTCCACCCCTTGCTGGAGTAAACACCCATAAAAACATGTCCACCAAGGTAGAGTTTATACCCACCATTAACAAACGCACTGGATCACTGCAGTAAATCACTGGCAGGTTTGATGTAGTAAAGTCAACCAAAACAACTAAAAAAGGACAAAGAAATTCAGTCCCTTTTCAATATTATTTACCGTGAATTACATAATTAAATAGAACGCCAAGTCTCCCTTTTTTCGGAAGGAGACTTCAGATATACCGTCACCCTCATTTTTGTCATCTGAAATAATCAAAATTCCCTACATCTTGCTCAGTTTCTCAAATTCAATTAATTTATTGTGATGAACAACGTAAACTATGGCATTTAACAGTTGTTTGTCAATAGGGGTCATTTAAAGTACTTTTTAGACATTTTAAAATATTGTCAAATGGTTTCTCCCCCATGACAAATTTTAACGATTGGCAAGTATAATTCTATTTTAAGTACAAGTCACCTAAGCTCGTTTATTGTACAACCTTTATTTAGGTGAATAAAAATGAATGGAAAGGGTTTGTATGTATTATCTAACTTGTTCCTGTAGGTAAATGAGATATATTTCGTTTTTTTTTTATTTCAATAGATAAGATGTAAATAAACAACATTGTGTTATTGGCTATTATGTACAAAAGTAGTATGCAATCACTTTATTAATATCAATTAACCTTTGTAAAGCTAGTGTTTATTTATAACAATACCTTTGTAAAGCTACATTGTTTATTTATAACAATACCTTTGTAAAGCTACAGTGTTTATTTATATTTATATACAACTAAACACGCAAGAACAGTTTAACCTGTTTATTACTACAGTTATAATACATACAAGCTACAAGTTTGGCGTATCAGGGGCTACTCACTCTATACCAAAACGATTAAACTTACTAATAGGATATTTAAAATTTAAAGAATCTGGACTCTGAGGTGTCCCAGAGTAGCTAGCTACATGATCGAGCAAGACTCCAAAGATACAGAGAAGCAACTAGACCCTGGACGATTCCAGAGAAGCTACTAGACTCTGCGAGCGACCCTGGAGAAGCTGCATGAGAAATGGAATATTCAACGACTACGGCTAGACCCTCAACGATATGAGAGAAGCTGAATATGTTAGCTAGACCCTCAACGATATGAGAGAAGCTGAAACATACTGTCGTAAAATACTACATGTATAATATTATTATAAGAT